AAAAAAAAAAAAAAAAAAAAACTAATTTATTTGAAAATTAAATTTATATTTGTATTATACATTTATATATAATCAAAATTTAAATATATATTATATACATACATATAATAAATATTTTTTGTTTCCCTCTGCACATGTGCATGTGCATGTGCATGTGCATGTGTATGTGTATGTGTACATGAATGAATACAAGTCTAGATAAAAACAATTTTTTTTTTCTTTAACCATATAAAAAACTTATATTAAGATTTTGATCATGAAAATATGATAGACATTTTAGTAATAATATATTTATTGCTAAATTTTTAATTAACTTATTCAATTATTTTTAATATCATAAAATCATCAAAATAACTCAATACAAAGAAATATATATATGTATATATTTTTTTTGATAATCACTGTCAAAACAATCGAACTATTTTAATTCTATATCAGAAAATCAATTAATTTTCAAATTATTTAATCAGCAACACAAATAAATCATATTATAAAAAAGGACCAATTTTCCCAATTTAACCAAATTAGTACAACGCTCGTGTATTACACGGGTGCTTTCTAATTTTTTTCTTAAAATCTAAAATTAATGAGAAAAAGTAGTTGAAAATTTAAATACCTTTTACAAAAATATATATATTATTATATATTTAGTATGACACTTTTTATTTGTGCGACTTATCTGTGTTATATTATAATAATTTCTTAACTTACAACATATAACTACATTAAAAATAATATATCAATTAATAAATACTTTTATTTTTCTAATGAATTTTAATAAATATTTTATTTTTTGTTATTATAAAGATAAATATAATTTATTTATTTGATATATAAAATATGAATGTCAAATCTAAGATCATCAAAAAATGATTAATTTGATATATAATACATGTGAAACCGATAAGAAATACAAAAGTTATCAACTTTTAAATACATTTATAATTCAATAGCTAATGAATGAAACAAATCAAAGTCAGGGGTATATTAGTCACTTAGTGCATCACAAAGTA